TATGACATGCAAATGACTCTCTGCTGAAACATTAAATTGACAAATACAGTATATGGCTTACCTCGTAACTGATTTCCAACATTCAAATTTCAACAAATATGACAACGTGACGTAGCCCTTTTAGATCTGGACGTCAACCCCAAAAACTTTTCATCTTCCTCAACCCCTGTTTCGCCCGCGCTCAAGGATTTCAAAATCAACACAACAGAACCACAACGGTATGGTCAACACTTTCCAACTCAACGCCAATGAATAGTTGGGGGCAGTCCCAGCAAACATAGGCGTTCTCACTAGATCCTCACCCTTATATATAAACCCTATTAATAAAGAGCGGAGAAGCAATTCTGTTTGTGCCTAATAAAACTCGGCCAGGGAAGCTGAACGAAGGAGGCTGGCCGAAGGAACAACAGCTCGGCCCTAGCGTCTATCTACGGCCAGGTCATCGTTCTTCCTTTTGTCAAAAACAAAAGTAAGTTATGATTCAAAGTCATCACGGCCTCGGCAATACTGGCCGAGGACAAACTCCTCAGATGCACGGCCAAAGTAGGAAAATCAAATGGCATCGCCACGTGGCATCACACCATGATCCACGTAGGAGCATTTAATGAGCCAAGAAAGAAGGGACGTGATTGAAGTCATATATGGTGAGTAAAATCAGGGATTAGGTGCGAAAATTCCATGATTTTGTAAGGCTAAGCCACCAACCATCAGACCAGGGCATTAAATGCCCCTACAAGGCCCAAGATGCAGAGCCCACCACCAGGGCGGTGGCCGGGGTTTATGGGTGTCACACCACCATGCTTCACGTTCCCAAATGCCGACTCGACTGCCTACTAGCTCTGATCAACCTCACCATGCAGATTTTCAGCTTCATTGTCTCCTCAAGACCGTCTCTATAAATAGCGAGCTCCAACTACATTTAAAGGGTTCAACACCAAACACAAGCCTCCCAGGGAGCAGATTATATTTTCCTGTCATTTACTTCTTGTCATTTACGTTCTTCTAATGCCATTTCAATACATTTACTTGCTTTTTTGGGAGTAGTGGCAGTTTGTAGGAAAATCCATTCATCAATATATCATACGACCCTTGATTTTCAAGGCGTCGGAACACCATCTTTGTTACTCTCTCGTTCATCCCATATATCATACGACCGTCGCCACCCAGCGATGCGCCGGAGCACCACCTAAAAACCACCATCAGCACCACCATCAACGGCCTTGTAGCTCAGGCCGTGAACTTGACGGCTGAGATCAGTTCCTCTCTCGGCCACAATCGCTCTTATTAGAAGTCAGACTTAAACAGGCGCGCAACTCATCTATTCACCCAGCCGTATCATTCTCAAATGCACGGTAAACCGTGCTGGCACGCCCGCGCACAAACCACACGGCGCCAGAAGAAGGATGACCTATGTTGACGCAGATCCCCTCGCCCCGGAATACCAGGCCGTAGGATTCGCTAACGCCAACACTTTTTGGCACGCCCAGTGGGACTTCTTAAAGTACACTATCAAAACTTATGGCGGAAACCAAGTCACAGGCAAAACTCAAGGATAAAAGAGTCGAGATGACTTCTGAGACTACTGAGTCGACCTCACCGATAAATATCGCCGAGACCGAGCAGACGGTCAACATCTCGGCCAGTGTTCCAATGTCGACGACTCTCACGGCCGAGTCCATACAGGAGCAAGCTCTGGTGGAAGATTTAATGGCTAAGCAGGCCTACAGGATAGAAACATCCTTTATGGCCGCGATGGATAGATTTTCCTCAGAGCTACGAACGCTTTTTCTGGAGAGGATGCCGATTTCCTCGCCCACATCACCCCCCAGTGCCGGACAAAGAAATCAGGAGAACGAAAGGGTTGAACCCTACGGTGAGGGCAGCAGCCTCGGTGTTTCTGGCCGCACACTAGCGTCAGGCTACGGACAACATTCTCATCCGCCAATGAATAGTTGGGGGCAGTCCCAGCAAACATGGGCAAATCCCGGCCCATCCTACTTGGCAGAGACGCCGCACGGCCACATCTAGACAGCTGTGGTGTTAGGACAGAGTAGCCCCACGCATTCCATTATTCAACAACTCGGCCCCGTCCATACCTTGGCCACCCAAGCACAGACCGGCCCAAGCAACGCATCCACGACATCATCACAGCAGTACGGTCAAAATACCATGGCCGTTGTGCAGCCATTACAGACGCCGATATTCCCGTCGGGCTCCCAGCTTCAGTACGGTTCGGCTGTCCCGATGGCCACACAGACGTACTCGGGTTCCCACCACCAGAGTGGTCCAAACCGGCAGCAGGTGGCCACGCCTTTGCGGCAGGTAGACCATATACACTCTGGCCAAGCCCATAACGCTTACCAAGTGCAGTTCGGTTCAGTCACCACAGCCGAGCCCATTGTTTAAATGGCCCAACAGGTAAGGCCACAGAACGATGCACAACAGGTCCTGCGACCGTTTGTGGCCTAACCAGAGCCACCTTCTTAGGAGCTTCAAGTCGAGGACATTCGACGACTGATCGAGGACGGCCTGGCTCAAAGACGGCCGGAGGCGCCAAGGTATACTAAGCCGTACCCACCAGAGATCGACCGAACTCTCCTTCCCTGGAATTATCGACTACAAGAATTCATGTTGTTCTCCAGGGACAGACTCGGACGCCCAGAAACTCCGGTTGTTCGTTCATTCCTTAACCGGCGCGGTGTTTTCCTGGTTTATAAACCTTCAACCGAATTTGGTAAGGGACTGGGCTGACATGGAAAGGATTTTTCATGAACACTTTTACCAGACTAATCGGGAGATAACCGTAGCCGAGTTGGCAAGGATGAGTCAGGCCGTAGACGAGACACCCCGTGATTACTTGCAGCGATTTAAGACGTGTAGGAATTGGTGCCGAACGAACCTACCAGAAAGGGAGTTTGTCAAAATGCCCGAAGAAGGGCTGGAATTCGAGTATCGGAAAAAGTTCCAGGGGATCGAATTCCGGGACATGCATGACCTGATCAGCAAGGTGGACAGATACACATCCTTGTTGAAGGAAGAAATGCAGAAGAAAACGGCCTCAAAAGGGACGTATTACAAGAACCCCATTGTCGGCTACGCCGAGGCAAACGGCCCAGTCGAGGCCGGGGATGATGAGGTTGAAATAAGCTCAGCCGAAGTCAGCTAGACAAACCATTCAACTGTAAGGAACTTGTCAAGGCCGACAACAGCCGAACCAAGATCCACGATGCCAAGTTTGCAACCCGAGAAATGAAGGCATACACCTTCGTCTTGATGAGGGCCGAGGCTATCTTCGATCTACTATTGGCCGAAAAGCAGGTTAAATTATCTTTCGGTCATAAGATTCCAAAGGCCGAGGAGCTCAAAGGAAAGACATTCTGCAAGTACCACAGCTCCTGGTCCCACATCACGAACAACTGTATCGTCCTACGGGACGTTATTCAGAAGCTGATAGACGAGAAGAAACTCCAGTTCTCAGAGAAGGCCGCCATGAAAGTTGACATCGAGATGTTCCCTCCGCCGGTCATCAACATGGTTAATGCCCAGTTTCAGGCCGAATATAGGGAAGTGCTTCGGCCTGATAAGGCTACGGTAGGAAGCTCGTCGTCAACAACAAAGCCAGTCAAGGAGAAGGAGTTATTGCCCAAACCAGAGCTAGTGTTTTGCGACCGATGCAAGAATGAGATCGGCCGATCCAGGCCACAAGAGAACAAAAGGAAGGCCGCTGAGCCCTCTCGATCGGGCGCAAGGAGGTTCGCAGATCAGTACGATCGCCGACCGGTCAGCAAGGCCGTATTCGATCGGTTGGGGGCATGGATTCCCAGAGTCTCGTATAGCCAAGGAGACGAGGCCACCCCAAGACACATCAAGACCTTCAAACCTCC